GAAAAAAATAATATATACCAAACAGAGCTTAATAGTCTCTTGCTTAAGCACATAGCGAGTCAACAATAATTGGGAGATTCAAAAAGAAAGTATATTTAGAAGATTGTGCCATTAGCAAACTGTACGGAGAGAGATCAATTTAAGAAAATGAGGGCCATTATTATAATCATAACCAGAACCAATTAAGCTTCATCAAGCAATGGGTTTCCTAAAATAGGAAATATACCACAAATCTTATGTCCATCGGCATTGAGAGTGTTAGACTAACCCTTTTAAAAAAAAGTAATCTTTCTACTGAAGTTCTAGTTAAGCAGCTTTAGAAAGAAAAGCAAAAGTGTGTTTGGGAAAGAGAACATATTTGGCTAAGTTTATACATACTTCTAAATAATTTTACTTTGATTTTAGGTAGAGATGTCAAAATTAAAATAGGGCATGTTAGTTTCTACATCTTGTAGAAGAACTTCTCGAGGAAGTTATCTTAAACCGTGTTCGAAACTAAGTTCTAAAAGAGTTCTCTCTTTCAAGAGAACTATTATGTAATTAACCAATTGGATTCAAAAATAGTTTGTCTCAAAAGTCATGCCAACAGGTCCCATGTGATTAGACTCGATTCATATATATTAAAGGCCTCTAAAAATATAAAGATCTTCTTGACAAACGTAAAGATCGGATTAGACCAACTTACGTACCCACCAATATTGCAGGCCGGGTTACTACAACCCGNTTTTTTTTTTTTTTTTTTCCTTTTTTAAGACATTTAATATGAATTAAATCATGATTAGAAATATGAACATTCTCATTGATATGTTTAGAATTACATTGATATGTATGATTACAGTGAATATATTATTGTGATGTTTTGGGAATAATTACAACGATCACACTTTAATAATACAATTTCAAAAATATCAAAGTCGTAGAATTCTTTAAAAAAATCAGGTAATAAATTAATATTATCGTTCCTAAAATTATATAAATGTGGATTTACTGATTTACATAACAAAAATTAAACTAAAAAAATGAAATGGGTTAGGGATTGGACCAAACTACAGCCCGGTCCAATCCCCTCTACATTCGTTAGTGCTTGGCTATTCATCGGTTGGAGACACTAATGTTAGCCTGAATTCACACATAGAAAACAATTTTATAGAAGTCGAAATATATTGATGTCAAAAAAGAAAGAAATACAATAATTTTAAACATAGAAAAGATGGATAATGGAAATTGATGGAACCAAAATGATGTAATGCTACTTGGGGTGAAAGTGTTTAAACCCCTGTTTGGTTCGAATTAAAATCTGATTTTAATTCAAGTCAAAGTCAAACAATCAATATCAATCACATCTTTCATGGGTTCCATAACTTTTCAACCACACATTTCAAAAATTTATATCACAATCTACTAAAAATCCAATTTTAATCCCCACCAAACACCCTCTAAATAAATAATTACTGTCACCCAACAAAGGGCAATATGTATAAGAATATGGCCCGCCCGTCCCACATTAGAAATGAGATCAAATGAGTGTTGTCCACTTTCAATTTGGGCTTATTATCTTTAGGTTTTGGAAGTTGTGTTGTGTGCTGTAGATTGACTTACTGTTGGATATATCCACTACCTTCAATGCTCTTTGCACGTTTCGACCTTTAACTTGCTAAATGATAATGGCTATCCTACAGAAAGTGAGACCTGCAGTGTTAATAAAACAGTTGGGACGAGATTTTTTTTATGTTGATGACACTATTTATGAATTCTTGAATTGAAATTCTTTAAATTACAAACTGATGCATGTTTCAACAACAAAAAAACTAGTCTATCTTTCATGCATCTTTCCCATCATCATTAGAGTGTTGGAGTGCAATAAAATAACACCGCACCAGTGTCAACAAGTTACACAATCTTTGAGCATCTATAATTTTTCACTAGATGAAGTTAGTATAAAAGGTCGAAAAGAGAATTTGATATTTACATAGTGAACTTGAACCAGAAATAAAATTGGGAAATCATAATTACTATTAATCACATATTGTTGTGTACATACATAAATAATTTACATCTATAAAGTTCAAGAGTTGTAGACGAGACCCTCTGGGGTGGGGTCTATGATCGTGAGCAGCAAGTTCTTTAGGACACGATCAATGAAGAGGTTCAACTTCGGTTCAACCAAGCAGCCAAATACCTATGGGGAGGTGATTTCTGTATCTATTTATGAACCATGATTCATATTACTAACAATGAGGTAAGGTTAGTTTTCTACAACTCATTCAATGATAGTTGAATATGTTGATCCCTTATCTCGTAGTTCCAAAACCATGTTCCAGAATCCATCAATTCCTTTCCAATAGGCTTCATTTGGGCATCTAAACCTGAACTCAAAATCAAATATTGAAGAAAATTGAGTAGAATAATCTTTTTGTTTCAGATAGGAAATATTATTGACAGAATTCAATAACTATCTAAAGTTTCAAAAATGAGTGTGCCCGCGTGTGTAAGAGAGAGAGAGAGGGGGGCAAGATACTGTAATTCCAATATTGATATTATGGTCCACTTTAATATGCAAATTTAAGGATGTAAGAGAGAGAAATATAAATTAAATACGGGTTTCACAAACTCAAATAAAATACCATGTAGTTTAAATGTAAAAGGATAGTCTACTGTAAAATTAAACGACAAAAGTCAGCAGAAATAGAAACCATATGCACCAGATATATCAAACTATATAACTAAGGAAACCTGAATTTCCTGCCGTAATCTTCAATTTGTAACCATCTGGGACTTCAAACACATGATTGCCCTGGATAGAAAAATAAACGAAAAACAAGGAAATCAGAATTTTATGAAAGTAGATAACCACTCAGCAACTTCATTGTGTTGAAAATGTCAAAAAAGAAAAAAAAAAAAAAAAGGAGGGAGCAATTAGATTTACTTGCAGATCAACCAAACTATTATATACTTGCTAGTAATTAAAAGTTGCAGTTATTCGTTCTTCATTACATGACTACTGATTCAGTTTATGGCCAATGACACTCGGTAATTTCTAAACTTCAGAGTACAGTAATTTATATGACGATTTCATATATCCCTTCACACCAGTTTGAACTTTAGAAGAATGTATCTCAGTTCTTGACCCAATTCTTCACGAGTAAAACAGTCCTATTGCTCAGAAGGAGAACTAATTTAAAGAAGAGACTTGTACAAATTAGTCGTGCAGGAAATACGACACAACACCAAAGAACAAAAGAAAGAAAAGAAACAGAAACCGAAACCGAAAGAAATCTCAATAGAACAAAACATTTTTCTGTAAAAGGCAATCAGCTTGCTTTGACAAAATTAAACACAAATGTTCTGGATGATCCCTCAAAATCACAGTTAATCCCTAATAGAGCATGCATGTCTATGATAGTTGGCATGCAGGTCTCTGTATGCTAAAAATAAAATCCAACACATCTATCTACAGTTAACAGTAAAAAAATTCTCTTTTAAACTTTAGGGAAAAAATATAAAAACAACGATCTCATTTTGTCACCAATAATACTATTATGTATGCCCCTGTTTGAGCCCCATTTTGGTAAGAAAATATATTTTGGAATAGTGATTTTTTGGAAAATGTGTGGTTAGAAAAGAAGGAAAAGTTTTTAGTTTATGTGTAAAATTATTTTATGGGAGAATGTGTCGTTCTATATCCTCAAATGCAATGTTCACAGTATGTATTATTTCCCAGGCAAGAGATCTACAATAGTAATATGGATTCCACACTAACCTGTATTACAACATTGGTAGCCTCAAATTCGGCATTGCCATGCAGTATCACCTTTAATGCCTCAAATCGCTGCACATCATGCTTCCAATATAAATTATCTCTTGAATTCCAATCAATTCCATTATTCAATACCCTGACATTCTGTAATTTGCACCTTGCACACCTGTATGAATAGAACTTATTTTGGAAGTATTTTCATAGTTACTTGTTTGTAAAGTTCAAAGAACTGGTCCAAAATGGTACCTCCTGCCATACTGTAATATAGGTTCACCCCTTTCATCAATTATAGTTGAGCCAATGACATTTTCAGCCAAGACAATCAAACTCCCATCAAGCTGAAAATAAGGGACACCGATGAGAAAAGAGAAAATTGATAGCTGCTTGATCCATATTCTGTAGTGTATTACCTGAACATCACTCCATAAAAACTCAGAAATCTCTATCTGTAACTCAGAACCCGTGGAAATGGAACCTCCTTGAAACTGACATGGAAAAGATAGATAGAATTAGCATTCAATGGTGCAATACTTCAATGCTGGACTGAGGTCACATATTATTTTAAGGAAAATTGAAGATCAAAAAGAAAAACAAAATAAATATGCAGGATCATGCGAGAGAAATAGATCATTAAGAGAGACAATTGTTTTCGAATCATCATTGCATAATAAAAGTAATTCAGTTGTCCACAGCGTAGCATACTACAGTTCAGTCTACAGCATAAAAATTCACAGTATAAGAAACTGATGAGAAAAATATTGTGAACTTACCTTTTGTCTGGTGACTTCCCAAAGAGGTCCTAGAGCAGGATGGAGGAGGATGAGATATGGGGGTCCAGAATTAACATATTTTCCATTACCTTCAACCTGCGAAATAGGAGGATGCACATGGAATAAAGCTTCACAAGAAAGTTCCCAAATTCGTTTAAACTGTTGGCAATGATATTGAAAGAGATTTATAGTTTACCTTTGGCATTTTTATTCCACAATGGGATAGTAGATCGTAGGCATTACGCATGATATCCAACAACGAACCATCTGGAGTCTGCAATGAACATTTAACAGGTTCATTAAGGGTGGTTACCTTCACCGACTGCAGGATTCAGATCTCGTCTTCACTTAAAAAAATAAAATAAAATAAACTTCAAAATATAAACAAGCAAATATTGATTAACATCTTCTGTGCCTGGAATAACAAAACTGCTTTGCAAGCAGGTTCATGAAAGAAAGAAAGAAGGCGTGTCTGCACATACCAACGGCTGCCAAGACCTAGGAACATATGCATTTAATGAACCAACACAAGATCTCTAAGCCTTTCAAAAATTTTAATTTCTTCAGATGATCACTTCAACGAAGTTAAGCTACAAGTCCTTGACACCATGTCTAGTGCAACTTATACTCGTAAAGATTTGACCTCATTATTCGAGTTCTTTCGGGTATAGAAGATAGATATACAATGACAGTGACAATGCAGCTGTCAATAGCTTCTTTTTTCTTTTCAAAAGAAAATTATCAAGTGTATAATAACACAAGTAAAGAAACAAAGATAAAACCAGGTAAAGTCTTATAGACTGCTTCGCCCCCTCCCACTTTCCCTTTCTCAACAAAAATAACATCAAATTATGCATCAACAACTTAGCACCTGGTGAAAAGACTTATCAGCATGTTTCCTTTTCTTCTTAGCAGAAGAAGTGACCTTTCTTCGTTCATTATACACAATAAAGGTATCAAGCTCATCTGCAATGGTGCAACCAAAATAACTCCCATGCTTACATTAGGCATCAGCATATTAAAATGTATCAAATGTAAAAGCATACAGGTTATTTTCTTACCTTCCACATCCTTATGAAGTCGAGATGGATACATATTAGTAAAATTATCAGCAATGTTTTGCATTGTGCACTCCAAGCGACCACCAGAGATACTGGCAGAAGTACAAACGCAATTGACACTTAGAAAAATATCCAAGTAAATACCCAAATGTTACTTAAAACTTATCAGGGACGGGACTAATTCAAGAATTATCCAGGTGATACTATAGAAATTAAACACAAGAAATTACCAGTCGATCATGACGAACATGTATTATCCACATCATTTATATGGTGATAAAGAGACTAAAGACGGAAAAGAAAAAAATAAAAATAAAAACTTAAATCAAACAACAAGCAAATTGTCCATCGCAATTCATTCTACCTAGTGAAATTATAAATATCCTGCAAGAACTTCTTACTGCATCTTCCTGTTGAAATCTCAGTCTTACTCAAAACAAGGATAGAATCAACAGGAACTGAGAGTTGACTCCAGAATATGTGTAGGACTGAAGCTTCAACATCTGTTATCAATTATAGCATTATCTCCAATTAAAATGGAATTTCTTTATCTTTCAATTCCATTTTCCACACAAATAGAAAAATATTTAAGTTACAGCTTTACTTCAATAGGTCACACCGTGCAAGAGCAGCTAATAAGATAAATAATGATGAATACACTCAACCTATTTCTTACAGCAATCTGGCAAAAAGGTTCACTATGGATCTATAAATAATATAAAATTCAAAAAAAATGGAGAAATCCCATATCAATAGGTTGGAAAAAAAATTAAAGAAATGCGGTAATTGAATTTTGTGTAAATCTTGATGGGGGTTTACATCACCTTCCAAACAAATTCAACAGATTTTCATTGCCAAAGAATAATGATGTGAGCCAACTTCCCAATGAAAATTCAATTTGGAAGGCCAAAAAATTCATTTAAGTGACCACGAAGTGGATATTTCATATTCAGGAATAAATCAATTTGAGCTTAAATCTTCTAATTATCAGCAATCATTTCATTATCCATTAGGCAATGCCTCCTACACATGTCTCACAAATAAATATTTATTATCTACTTAAAACATGTAAGCAACATTTTTATGCTTAATGGTCCCACAATCATGTCCATTCAATTTGAATTACATAAAGATCGATCTGCTATGGCTTAAAGATCATGCAATTTGCAAAACACTTATCCCCTCACTCAAAATGTGAAAAGATTGAGAAAAGGAGTGAGAGATGACAAAGAGTAAATAGAAATCACATACAGCACATTTGCACATTACGCTCCATAGCTAAAAGGTAAGATAAGTATGTAACCATAACATGTTTGGATGATAGCAGGAAAGAGAATAATTATATTACAAGATGTTAAGCCTTAATTCCAATAAATTTGGTTTTTTCTACGTGAATCTTTTTTCTCTAGTTTGTTCTATCATCACAAAATCTACAAAAAGATTAAATGAAATCAATTAATCTCATCTTGAATATGTCTTAAGTTCATTGATGGCTAAAGCAAAAAGATAAGGACTTCGGGCAGAACCAGATACATGTTTATGGTAATAAGATTCTCTAGTGATTTCTTCTCTCTTCCACCCACCTCAACTCTTAGCGCACCCTGACATAGAATCCTGACAAGCTTAATATGTCTAAATTCAATCGTTTCAAATATCTCATTTGTTCATATAACTAAGCACTTTCATCTTAATAACAAAATAAATAAATATAATATTATGACAATGATATTGCTAACGCATTCTTCAAAACAGTTATGCCAAGTCATAAGCTCGTACCTGTGTTTCATCCCTAATTCGTCCACAAATGTAATTGGCTTTTTTACATTGAGCACCATTCCCGGTAAACTACTTGCATCTTTACTCGATCCAATAAGCTCTGCAGAAGGTAAATCCACGTAAAGGATATTTGTGTTGGCAGGGAACTCCGCCTGCAAACTTAACCCAAAGAACATGTGTCAAGCAAGAAATTTCAACAATATTAAGTTTTTTAGGAACAATTGAAAGAGAATTTGAAACCAAAGCAAGCATATGAGAGATGCAGTGACAAATGAGACTGAATGGTTTTTTTCTGTTGACTGTGCCTTGATGTACGACTTGAATTTTATACGTTATGGCTTCTTATTACTGGAAAATGCTGGATAACAAAGATGTGTCCACATTTGCTCCATGTTTAAGAATATTAAAAATGGGCACCTAGAAATGTGATTATTTTCTTTTATGACCAAGTAGATAAACTATTGAATCTATTTGATTGATCAACAGTGGATTTTTAAATGTAATAGTCATAGTGATATTGTTTTACCAAGCAAAAACTACTGCAAGAAAATTAGCATGGCATTACTAGCCGAACAAGTCCTTAAACAGTTTGTAAGATCTAATTACTCTGCTGTGTTATAAAGTACTCACACTAGGAATTTCAAAGTCATTCAGCTCGACTTACCAGCTAGATCTACAAACAATATATAAATAGGACAATAGAATAATCTCATAAGATTGAATGTAGATCATATAACTCAGCAATTACAGAAATTATTCAAATTACTTTATGAGATAAATTGTTAAAACTTAAACAAATCACACGCAAGTTGAAGGTGTGATTTGAGGATAATACATCATCAGGGGTGGATAGAGAGAGATTATCACACTGATCTAACGAAAAAAGAATCGAGAGTACCTGTTAGGAGAAGGGGGTCCAACAGTGATCCCAAACTTATCAAATTCGGTGTATTCAATGCAGGACAGACCATATGCCCATTTTCCATCAAGATTCTTCTTCTCGAGTAGAACATTTATGCCCTCTGTAGCCCCCGGATTCCGTTGACATGAGGCAAAGCCCAATTTCTGAAAGAGTAGCAGTTAGCTATCAAAGCATAACTAAAGATAACTAGCGCAGACGAATATTAAAAGACAGCCAATTTTCTGTGTGAGGGGCAACTGGACAGAAAATATGCAATAAAATGATCCAGCATTCACTTAAGCAATAGACAGCAAAATTCCAAGAATGAAAATAGAGAACTGGCAGAACTCAAGAACTCATATGCACATAAAAAATTTTGGAGTAAACTTAATCATAATAAAATGAAAATAAACTCAAAATATCACAGGAAGGTATTGGTCATTTTACATCTGTCCAGAATGTGATTGCTAAATATTGTCAACTATCCAGTTGATTTTGGGGTGCCTGTCGAGTGGTGTTCCCAACAAAATCATGCATTAATTGATTCATCTAAAATATATTTGTTTCATGTGATTTGCCCAAAAAAAAGTTAAGAATACATCTTGATTGACCTCTATAAAATTCTTTGAGGCCCAATAATGCTACCACAGTCAAAGACAGCTTCTATACCTACAGAGTTGGAACAATTTATAACAGTTAATTATGGCAGTTGAAACAATACAGATCTACCTTTCTATGGCGCAAACCAATCCCAGCCAAAGCCAAGAGAGTCATATCTGTAGCAGCCACAACATTACTGCAAATTTGAAAATGTCAGGATACCATCCAACTTCCAAATAGTACCGCCCAATTAGTTCTCATTCTGTGCACAAGATGACAGTGTTGTACTCAACCCTAATGTTGAAGCTAACCTGACTTGTCTAACAGTTGCACCTTTTCTTCTGTGATGGTGGAACCATTTGAAAACACCTTTATCATAGGCTAGTTTCCATATCACGCCGTGACCCCCAGGCTTGCATAATGGTACATATGGTCTAGTCACCACCCAGTCGCCATCTTCTGCACTAACAGCTGGAACAAGGGGCTGTCCATTGACAAACCGAATTACAAACTGCAAGAACAGAGCAAAACAGAGTATAAAAGTAAAAGAAAGTATCATGTCTTCAAACCTGTTCAAAAAGTTGGAATCTAGATCTTCCTCTTCCAAACCATTTGAGCCTTTCACAAAGAGAAGTGATATGCCAATGGTTGTTTTTTGCGGAACTTGTCATAATGGCAACGGGAGTGATGCATTGTTTCCCATACAACTTGAAATACAGGAACTCTCTAGCCTTGTAGAAGTCAAAATCGTTTTCATCATTTCAGCCTCCATTTGGAAAATTTGTAAATGGTTTATAAAGAGGAATAGTGGTGGGTCTCACGAAATGTGTGGATAATAATGAGTAGTAGTTATGAATGTGTGGTTGAAATTAACGTTTGACTTTGGCTGAGTTTATAAACTAAATTTGTATCCAAACGGAAAATCAATTTCAAAAGAATACATGTAAATCGATCCTATTAACAATAAAAATGAGTAACATAAATGACAGTTCAATCTATTGTCAAGCACCATATGCGCAAATAAACTTCAATGGATGACGAGGAAAATCATATTTACCTGAAGATCTCTTATAAGACCTTCCAATAAAGTTCGTCCACAATAAGGAAGCATAGCTGCAGGAAGACATTCCCCTGTCTCAGGGTCTACCAAGCCAAGCCTGTCTGCCGAGCCTCCTAGAGGATAAATTTCTCCTAGGTCGGGCAAACCCTGAATATTGGTTAGTTCTTATAACACCAAAGTTGGCGTCAAATTGTTAATCTCAGAATGACACGTGATATGCACTAACCTCAATTCCCCAAAGAGCAGCTTGAGTTGCATATTCAACATCTTCAGAAAGATCAAGTACATTGGGAGGATGAATTTCTATAAACTGACGCTTCAATGAGTTTTGCTCGAACCAATTAATGGTTTGTCCTTCAGAAGTTGATTGAAAAAGCAGCTCTAACACCGTTATCTGATATCTGTCAAACAAAAAGTCTTCAGGCTGATCATCTAACTGCATATGGATTCATCTTATTGTTATAAAGGCGAGCCTATAGCAGATTCGACTTATAAGTTATAACAGTTTTACCGTCAATACTCTATTAAAGACACAAGCAAATAAAACATTCAGCTTTTAAACTTTTCTGTATGCAGATCATTCACTCTGACAGAACCATTCTCTAATTAAGTCTTAGTGCCATCCAAAATAATCAATACTCATTCTTAAACCATTTAAAGAATAGTTGCAAATGAGAGGCTTGTCGTCAGTAAAATTTCTCCTTTACAATTTCTTTAAGCTTTTGAGGTGGTCAAGTATTTATAAATGAACTACTGATACATAAAATGATTGTCTTTCAACTGAAAACAGAACTAAATTTTAGCAGTTCTACAAAGATGATTCTTAGATTAGTTGGTTTCTTTAAGGTGAATGGGGCATTGAAAGCGAGGATCATATTTGAGTATTCATCCAAGTAATGAGCAGACCATGGAAAACAATACATACTGGACGGCACAAAGGAACGCTGCTATCAAGATGGCAATTCATTTCAGTCCAAATCAGGATATATATATATATAGAGCGCCATAAAGCATGAAAAGTAGCTGGAAGACACGGAAATAAAGGTATCATTTCGAATATTTTGCCTGACAATCCAGTTGATATGAGCAGAGAAATGCAATAAACTCGCCGGAAAAGATATTTTGAATTGCCTGTCCTTCATTCATGAGCATCTGGCAACTAGGTCAATCATAGTCAAGTATACCATACCAACAAGAAGCAAATAGACATATTAACCCTATTCTCACTACAATAAGAACTGAAAAATAGTTTATACTGCTACGGTAATTGAAATATGACCAGGATACCCCATCTTTGACACTACTAATCTGTTCTTTAAGTTAAATTCACTGATTACCTTACTTTTGAGATGAAAAAAATAAGAATTCACCATAGAATGAAACAAACCAATAAAATTGAATAGGAAACGGGGAATAATCATGAAAACTGACCCAATGATTCCTCCAATGCAATCATAAAACTGTTCAACCTCTCCAAGAGTCTTCAACAATGACTTTAATGCTCTTGTTTCTTTCCCTTTCAATTCCTCACGTTTACCCTCATCGTTCACATCCCACGTCTCAATCATTTCCGCCAACGCATACAGAGTGCTTTTAACTGAATTCCTTGCCGAGTCAAACTCAGCACTCTCTAACTTGCTCCCAAACTCGCCCAACACATGTCCTTGTCCCGCAGCCACCACACAATTAAGCAAGTAAAACTCATTCTCATTCAAATTCTCCCCTTCCACGACCCTCGCAAAACGATTCCTCCTAGAACCAAAAAATGACTTAACCCGAGAATCCGATTCCATCACATTCATTTTCTCCTTCAATGTTTTGCAATCATCAAGTTTCGATTTCAAAGACTTGAGTCTGGCAATTTCTTTTTGAAAATTAAACTCCGGTGCCGGTGGTGCGTACTCTACTGGTGCCGTCGAAACGCGCGTGATGCGAATACATGAATGCGACGGCTGTGAGTGTAAATGCAACTTAGTCGGTGATGAAAAAATCGAAGAAGATAAAGCAGAAAGGGATTTATTATGGCTGAAAAAGAGAGAGTTAGAGTCTTTGGAGTTCAAGGTGAAGAGATTATTGTTAAGCACCGGAGAGGAATTAGCTCGCGCCATTGAAGCACGGAATTGTACCTTCAGTATGTGTTGTGTGAGTGTGTGTTTTTGTAGGGGAAACGTTGAACGCAAGAGAGGGATAAGACGAGATGCCGGAGCATATACCAAGGTTGGGCTAAGGTAGACAAGTTAGTTAAAGTTTAATTAGGGAAAATATCATATACCAATACAATTTTCAGAGAATAAGTTTATATTTTCCAAAATTCAGGTGTTAAATCAAATTCTATTATATAAATAAATAATTTTATATAAAATAATTACAATCCCTCTCTAGGCCGGATCACAATCATCGACATCCATCCCGTCAACATCCAAATAACTTCGTCAGGGACTGAGCATCGTTCAACAACAAATTGATCATCGTTTAGAGGAGAATGAGCATTGCCGTTCAAATAATAGAAAGAACGGGAGAAATATAGCGACCGGTGTAATTTAAATATATTCTTTAAAATCAAAAATTGAAAAATGGCCCCTAGCGTAATTTATAGAATACTCACCAATAAAATAATTTCAATTCTCATCATCGAAATATGGTTAATTGAATTCGTGTCGTTCAAAGAAATCAATGGCATATGATCTGTTCTCTTGAATTTGCGTTGATACATATGTGATATTATTCCAATGGCCTATGAACTACCTTTGACTTGTAGACATTTAGCCCTTGTTTGACATCCATTGGACTAAAAAAAAAAAAAAATCAAATTCAGTTTCAACCACACATTTATACAATAAAAATCTCAAACTTTTTAACCACGCGTTCTTTAAAAAAATCACCATTCCCAAATTCATTTTCTCCCAAAAACTTCATAAAATGAATGTCAAACAAGGGCTAAATGCCACAACTCCATCACATTTCGTCTCCTATCGACACATTTCATTGTCCGAAGAAAGTAATAAGAACTAGCAAAAACTACTTTGCTAGCCACTTAAATCATCTGGGTAATCATTGTGTGATATGTCAACTCAACACTAAGCCAGATCATAAATCCATTAAAATGAAAAAAGTGTCAAGCTTTAGTCAGTTCATCAAAAGTTGCACTAACACGATATCATTCTAACATTAGTATTAAGTTGGCATGCTACATTATGATTACACATAAACATTATTATGGTTTGGCTGCCAATTAAACCAATTTCTATCTGTTGGGTTATGACTGGGGACGAATTATGACGAAGTGATGAAATTTAATATTAAATCAAAATTTAGTGATCCAACTGAAATTTTTCTGAAAGCTCGGTGATGGCTGATGAAATTCACGTCAAAGAAAATTCTCTACAGTTTCTGTTTCCACATTTTTCTTCAATTTATTGTACGTCAGGATAAAATTTGTCGTTTGTAAGGCGAGTTTACGTATTTTTATCGTAGCGTACAATATAAAAATTGAGTCAGCTCGAATGTCCAAGAATTGATCTAGTAATCTTGATTGTGATTGGCCGGCTGTATTTTCCTTTTTCCCTCTTGTGGGCACGTGTTGACTCTAAAGAGTTTGGAGATTACATTTTTGTCTTGCTTTTAAGCAAAATAAATTATTTATTTACAGTAATTAAAATATACTTTTAAAGGTTTTTTTTTTTGTTTTTTGGAACATTAAACAACAAAAAATCATTTGTTTCACTTCGACGGCTAGGTTTGTGATTTTTCAGTCAATGTCCATTAACGTACGCTGTTTGGAACTGTAATTTTTTTAGTAAAGGTAGACAAGTTCGGCAAAAACAAAATGATGTTAACTGTTTTTTAATAAATTATAGAGTTCTATAAGCTATGTTGTATTGTACCTAGTTTTCCAATAATGGGTCGTTTGAATTTCGACCGCATGTTCAGGAAGTGTATATGACGATTTAGATTATAAGTATATAAAAGTTGGGAATAAGTAGTATTTGTGAGTCTCGTAAAATGTTTGAATACAAAATGATTTGACAAATTATTAATCGTTTATAAACGTTAACAAAACATGGGCTTCTCTTGAATACTGATTGCAGAATCACCTTACTCGATAACCTAACGCAAAACCATACGTGTTAGAACTCTCCCCAAGGGTCATTGGAAACTTGCACGAACAAGTTCGAGACAAGATTCTTAAACAAAATGAGATCATGTAGTTGGTTCTTAACTCTTTAATGATAAACTCCAAAGGAGGTGATTTACACATTCATCTTCAAGAAAGTATGTCGTGCTTCTAAAAGCTAAAGTTTATTTTTAAAGTTTCAACCTATCGACAGAAATGCACACAAAGTTAACCCAGTTATGGACATTTCTCTTTATCACGGAGTAAAAAGAAAACTTGGACTCAAGGGAAGGATAATCGACACAAAAGTGTTGTCTACCAACAAGCTAGAGATTGAAGCTAAAACTCTCATATCATATACAGAACCCACTTTCTCAAAACAATATTTCCCAGTGTAGTCGGATTCAACAGCCCAGAACGAGGTCTAATATCATCCTTCTAAAATGATTTCAGATTCTCATTTCCAACATGTTTTCTTTGCTGTTTTCAAACCGTTTTCTATTTTCGATTTTCCAAAACAGTAAAAACGCGTTTTTAAAAAAAAATTTTAAATTTACAAAGAAAACCCAAAATGTCGTTTTTGGTGTTTTTAGTAATAATTTGGCCAAAATTCTCAAGACGCGTTTTCAAAACAATTTTCTAAAATGGAAAAAATAACACGTTTTCAACAATTTCAAAATGGACACTCAAAACACAATCCAAAATGAATTCAAAACTAAAAACACAAAGCTGAAACACGAAAAGCCGAGATTCTTTACAAGGAAGTAACAAGGTCAAAAGTATGGAATATAAGATTAGCAAGTATCAAATAAGGAATAACCCCGTGTTAGTACATCAACCAAGAATTGAGAAAAATGATAAACTCAAAAGGAGGTGATTTACACATTCATCTTCAAGAAAGTATGTCGTGCTTCTGAAAGCTAAAGTTTATTTTTAAAGTTTCAACCTATCGACAGAAATGCACACAAAGTTAACCCAGTTATGGACATTTCTCTTTATCACGGAGTAAAAAGAAAACTTGGACTCAAGGGAGGGATAATCGACACAAAAGTGTTGTCTACCAACAAGCTAGAGATTGAAGCTAAAACTCTCATATCATATACAGAATCCACTTTCTCAAAACAATATTTCCCAGTGTAGTCGGATTCAACAGCCCAGGACGAGGTCTAATATCATCCTTCTAAAATGATTTCAGATTCTCATTTCCAACATCTAGGGCATGTTTTCTTTGCTATTTTCAAACCGTTATCTATTTTCGATTTTCCAAAACAGTGAAAACGCATTTTTAAAAAAAAAAATTTAATTTACAAAGAAAACCCAAAATGTCGTTTTTGGTGTTTTTAGTAATAATTTGGCCAAAATTTTCAAGACGCGTTTTCAAAGCAATTTTCTAAAATGGAAAAAATAACACGTTTTCAACAATTTCAAAATGGACACTCAAAACACAATCCAAAATGAATTCAAAACTAAAAACACAAAGCTGAAACACGAAAAACCGAGATTCTTTACAAGGAAGTAACAAGGTCAAAGATTAGCAAGTATCAAATAAGGAATAACCCCGTGTAATGAGCTCAAAATGCAATTAGATGCATTAAAACCCATCCCATATACTTGTATCAGAATTAAATATTATTATGAATAGCTAGTAACACCAAAATTATTTACAGGCCTTCCCAAGAAGCCTCCCAGAAGCTCTTAAAATCAACATCGCAGTCGAGGTGGAATGATTGGCCTTTCGGGTACAGAATCCACAACGAGTCCACCTTTCTTTGTTTACCATTGTAAAAGGAAATTGTATTATGTATGGCTATCATCAGTAGAACGATACCCCATTGACAAACTTCCTATTATGTATGGAAATATATTGTCTTATTTATGGGAGGCAAATCTGCAAACACAAAATGACTGTCACTTTAAGTCTGTACTTGCACTCCCCTTGTTCAATTTCAACACCTGGTTTATTGTCATCTTCCTCAACTTAAACTATGTCATCAAGGAAATTCTCGACCTGAAAGACATATGCCAGCTTAGTGATAGGAACTCTACTGCAAAATCTATTAGGCCTCACACCCGTGACTGCTCTATCATACATATCTTCTCTGATCTATCTAACAGTAGTTCTTTTTTTCTATAGCACTCAGCCACAGCACTTCCTAATAAATAAATATTAAAAGCAAACCTTGCCTCTTTTCTGTTTAATTTACCATCAACATCTGAACAAGGCAAATTGACTTCTAAAGTATATTGCCCTAGCATATATACCACGCCACCAGTGTTCCTTGAGACATTTCAATTACACCAATTCATGATTAAACCCTCCCATATTTTGTTAGGACTCCTAAGCTTATACTTAACTTATATTGAGCTTTACTCTTATGATGTGATGCAATAATACTATTCTTCTATGAATCAAGTATTTTTATTCTTTTAAGATCTCGTGATAACCATAAAATACCTGTTTTGCATAGACTCTTCCGTACTTGGATAGAGATCTCATTGAGACTACTAATTACATGTCTACCTTGACTTATCTGCTAACTCCCTCAATTCCATAACCTAGATCCTTCTAGTACAGTTAACAAATCTACAACCAACACAGTTCAATAGATCCCCAAGATCCGCACTATGCCTTCCATCAAATGATATTTAAAAATAATTACGCTATCTTTAGGTGATTTATAGCTACGAAAAGAATTATCTTTAGTTTTGTGCTCAATGCACTTGGACATATCTTGTAACTTCCTCCTTATCCTTGGTTCTAAGCAAACTGTACAAATTATCAAGTAATACAGTCCGAGTAACACTCTTGAATCCTATTCGGTCTAAGAAGCACAGACGCTAAAATAACATGATATAGACTCTCCGACACGATTTTTCAAAAAAGTTGGACATGGACACATCAGGGACATGTTAATTTAAATTCTTCAAAAAGTTTACATTTATATACTACAAAGTAGGACACGGACACGTCAAGGACATACCTTGCACGGTTTG